AAGGGCACAGAAAAGAATGGTGTTAATGAAGATCCAAATGGTCTCAAGAGGTACTGGAGAAAGATGAACTAAGAATTGAAGTGCTTTTAAGAGGCACAGCAAGAGCAAAAACTTTTAGTTAATGGATCTTGAGAATTGTGGAGGAAAAAGAATAGGAACTACATGCTACTGAAGCAGTTCAGGGAGCTAAGGAAAACGTACTTCCAATAGGCAGGAAGTAAATCTGGATGCTTGCAAGCTTTAGGAAAAAGCTCAAACAATAGAAAAAGCCTTTATCCTGACTAGGCAGTAGAAAAATAACTATCCTCTTTCAGAACAAATGCTGGTGTAACTAGTGACAGATTTTTAAACTAGGACTGTGCATTTTGTTTTCAGTTCTATGATAATTGCACAAATCCTTTTAAATCTGACAACTAGAACGCTGCTCATTTGGAATATTTCCTAAAATACCATCCATGCTGTGCTGCTGCATTAGTGAAAGTGATGACTGGAAGAATGATTAAAAAATAAGTTGTTTACTTGCAAGTATATGAGTTAATCTCTGCAGTAGGCTAAAGAATTTAACATACTCTAAGAATGTTTCTGTATTTCATGCTTGACTCAAAAAACTCAAGGAGCAAGCCTCATTCTTGCAAAACATCAGAATTTCAAATAATCTCACCAGTTGAATCTGTTAAGTGAAGTTTACATTCAGCCTCTTCCAATAACTTCAATACAGTTAGAAGAATGGGGCAGAATCTGCATGTGTCCTGCTTCTAATTTGGAAAGGCTGGACTAACCTTTGCAAGACCAACCAAGATTCATTTTTTTTTTAATTGTTCTGTACCTAAAAACATGCTGGGTCCTTAGACTAACATGAATAATTTATCACATTTGTTGCCAAAGCTAAGAAGATGACTAATTATTATAGCAAGTAACTTGCATCAATTCAAGCTATTATGGTGTCTGTGAATAAATTAGCAATATAAATGTAGAGAGTTGTGCTTACAGAAGATTTGAAAGTAATAAGCCTGTATTTTCAAAAACAAGAGTTTGAAAAAAGGAAATAAGGTGTAACAGTCCATATTCTACTAAACTGTTCACGAGCCCTGCAGTAAAACTGTGAGCAGGTGCAAATACTTAAGTCATGTGGGCATTTCATGCCCTTTTCATCTGCAGGATCCTCTACACATAATTAGCTGAACTTTGACAGAAAACTTCTTAAAACTTAACATATATGTTTCGGAATTCAAAACTCTGAATTCTCATTTATTTGATAAAACAAGAGCATCTCTTCTTGTTCACATGTTTAGGGGGTCTATAACAAGGAATAAGTACCAGCCTTAAATTTGATGCATTGCAGAAGCTTTTCTTCTGAAAAAAAAAGAGGGATCAAATGTAAAATACGGACTCTTAACTTTACATTACAGAATGTGAGCCCTGCATATGGGGTGAAATAATCCCATCAGTATGGAAGGTTTATATAAACAAAAAGTATTATAACAGTGAGTGCTGGAACAGGTTGCTCAGATTCTCTGTGGACTCCTCATTCTTGCTGAGACTTGTAACCTGGACTAGACAGTCTCTGAAGGTCTCTTCCACACTCGACCATTATGTGATTCTGTGAATGGCTGCAGCCTTTTCTTATATTTTTCCTGATGGCTCATGGTTGTGAGGGGAAAATAAGGGAAACAAGCCTTAATATCTTCATGAAACTACTGGGAATTGAGGAGAAAACTACCAAGAGTCAGGGAGAAACCAGCCGTGGGAGTAGTTCCTTTAATGATATCAGATGAAGGAAAACAATTGTTATGATTAAAAAAAAAAAACCAACATATTCCAGAAGATCTGAAGAAGTGGCATTGATAAGCCTTCAGATGAGTTTACTTTTCTTGCCAATGTGGGAAAAGATATGTATATCTATTTCACAGTTGGATGCTTGTTAGTTTTTGGTACCCCTGGCAAATTTCATTCCTACCTTCTTCCAAGTTGCTACCCAGAATGAGGCAGTACTATAATGGGGACTGACCTCTACTAAGTAAATATTTATTAGCATCTAGACAAGAATACTTTCCTTCCATCACACAGTTCTGTATCCAAACTGTTATTCGCAAAGAATTCTATCCATAACAGATTATGATATTGGCCATCTCTGCAGAGTATTTTGACAGGAATGAGTTAGAAATGTGTATAAAAACAGAGCTGAGCACATAAGCTTCAACACAGCTTTTTATTGCATGCTTCTATCCTGACTGGATGCCCAAATGCAGAACTGAGAAATTCCTCTTTTTTTGTCAAACACATTCTCTCTCTTAAATTGACCTCTATGTAGCATCAGGATAACTCAACAAACACTAAATTTGTCCTATCAGCACAAATTAGCCTGATAATTCAATAGATTTTAAGTTTACAAACACTCCTATTGTAAATCTTTGTTTGTTTAAAAGTAACATTATCACTGTTGACTTTTAATAATCTACTTTCAAAATAAATTAGTAAATATTATTCCTACACACTGTGTAAAAACTTGAGGAAGAGAAAAGGTAGGGAGAACTGCAAGAACACACAAGCCTATCCAGCATTTCAGTGTGTAACCAGAAATTGAGCTCATATTCTTGGTCATGCTTCAGACAGCTCTACTTTTCTCTGTATTTACTTTTGTTGGGGTAGCTATGGGACAACAGAAGTCTATTTTCTCACATCAGCAGCTCTACTCATTTGCTGTGAAACTTATTATATAGCTTACAAATTTCACATGATAGAGAACATCTAAAATGAACCTATAAAAAATAAAGTATAACAACTAACTGGCATTAGAGTATTTTAAGAAGAATGAATGTATTTGTGCTTGAAGAGATGCCAAGCAGAAGTGCTAGCACCTGCATGTGTCCGTATATTGGGAACTAAACCAAGAATGCTAACTCAAACCAGATGCTGTTTTCTTTTATGCACAAATATTTCCAAACATTGAGTTACTTCTGCTATTTCAGAAAGGTAGCAAAATCTGTAATGCTGAAGATTTAACAACCAGCTACTATGTTTACAGCAGATGGCTACATCCAGTATTACTAACAACTTTGCTATTATTTGCTTCAAAAAGGCTGCATGCATAAAATGCTCTTCACTATGGTCTGGATTTTATTATGCTTCACCAAATTTCTAATTCGCATTTTACATATTTGTTAAGCAGATTGACACATGTGGTGATATTCATCCATTAATGCCCCATAACAACATATTTACATTTCTGCTTAATTTTTTTCCAAATGACAAGCAAGACAGATAATTGAAACAGTTGTTTGTATATTTAGTATTTATGATGGGAATCTCACATGACCAGTTAATAGGAGCAGGTTGAAAGGATGAGCTCCACTGATGCCAGCAGAGATAGATGACCTTGCAGAAATTGTTTTTTGCTGATGAATCACTAAGTAAAATCCAGTGGAGGATGATGCTCAAACTAAATTCATAACTATTTCTGTCTATGCAGAATGGGAGGTGTAGAAATGTTGCATGGAGCATTGTGTGCACAATTCTTAAAACCTGGTGAAGTGTGGTTTCTGTTTTCTCTACTTAGAGTAGATGTAACATAGTAAGCATCTACAAATTTTCACATTGGGAAAGATATTCAAAGATTCAGTAGTAAATACATGGAATAAGTAAGAAACCACCTTGAACCATGAAACTCAAAGAAGCACAAGCAATATTCTACAAATGAACCAGAGATTTCTTTCAAAATATCAGGAAAAAAAAACAACTGAATGGCAGTCACCTATTACTAGTGATGGGATTATCAGGAGTCTGTCAGCATGAAATACAGTGTCTATTTTGCAAGACTTTGCATAGAGTTTATTGGCACATCAATAAATTACAGCTGATTTCTAATGCAACACATTTTTTTCGAAGAAATTTTTATCTTCTGTGTATGCACCTCTAGGAAGCTTCATTTATTTTAAGTGTATTGATTTTACTTAAGTAATTATCAGAACAAGCACAACTTTATCATAAGTAGTGAAGCAGCACTGAATTAGTATTTATTCTTTGTAAAAAAAAAAAAAAAAAAAACTATGAAGATATATTAAAAGGGATTACTTCATCAGTATAGATGGTAAATACAATGCATGTAAGAGGAGAGAACTAAGATATGAGCTCAAAAGAGAAAGAGCAAAGATGGAAGGGGTGGTAGAAAATTGGAATTCTCACAGTTATTAAAAATAAAAGCAAGTGATGGAAAAAGAGAAGAGGAAGAAAAGTGAAGTTCTTGGTAAGACATGTAGATGAGTGGCAAGAAGTACCTTAACAGAACCAAACCTGGTACAAAACCACAAGCAATCCAAAGAAATGTTCACAGACTTGGCACTAAGCCTCTACCATCTGTCTGCAGAAAACCTATGAGAAGCAAATCTGTGTACTTGGTTTCTGTTTTCTGCATGACATATCTTGTTTATTTAATCCCTTTTGCTACTCACTTTTCAAAGTGATACAGCAATTAAAACCAGAGGAGCAGGAAGTGTAAAAAGAACTACAAACAGGAAATTCATCAAAGAACAGAAAAAGTACAGAAAGACAAACATAAAATTCAGCTTTGAGTTTACTCAGCTTAATTACATATCATTTAACCTGTCTGTATTAGCAGGGCTTCTAATGGCATAGTATTTCTTCTGTTGATCCAATGATCAGAATATAAATGTATTTTGTCATGAAGCAAAGGACCCTGGGAATAGGTATTTTAATTTCTTTACAAGAATTTTCAGGAGATCTGTGTAAGCCAATATTTTATTTGATAAATTCTTGTCCCATTTCTTCAGAATTTTACTATCTTTGTCTTAATTTCAAGATTTTTTTCCATCTTCATAGGAATGTCAGCAGTTAAAATATCCAAGAAATAATGATCTCATTAGCTTAATTACTTCTTATTGACTTGATAAGTCATTGTGCTTTAATGGAAAATCTGCCATTAGAATTAACAGCTGCAATCAGGCATCCACTTTACATGTTCAAGGAAATGTTATGAATCTTACAGTAACTCAGTGGAGAAGTCTTGTCCCAATGGCACCAAAATCTGAAGTGTCAGGAATGGTTGAATCAGTCCCACTAGAAATGGGGGGAAAAAAAAAAATCAAACATGTCCTCTGTGCATGCATCATATTTCACTATCAAGAACTGCAGTGCTGTTCTGTAGTGATGCTTGTGCAAGATCACTTCTCTATGTTCATGAGGCATATGAACTTTTAAGAAAGCCAATTAAAACAACGCTTTCACTGCAGTTTTAAAGGTCTCATCTGTAGTTTCACAGGAATTTCTCATGAAATATTCAAAATATATAAAATAAATACCAAAATATTTCTCATGAAATACAAGGAACCTATTTGCTAATGGCAATTCTACACTGCATTCCAAGAGCATGTGGACACCAAAAATCCTGTATCAATCACAAAATTAGTAGTACACTTATATCAAGATTATCTTGAAGTCATGTGGAATTTTACCTCTTTGACAATTCACACCTTCTTAAATGACTAAAAAAACCCCACAACCTTGACTACAGATCCAGTTTATTACAGCAATGTTCAATGGAGGCTTCTGCTTTTTAGAGCAAAAGCAAAATAGCTTGACTGTGCAACAGAAGAAAACTCTCAGGATTCTGTGAGTCTTAGAATTTAAAGGAAAGCAAAGTATAAAGCTGTATGAATTGAATGTTGCAATATTTTTAACTACTTCATCAGTGAGGGTAAATGCTGGTGTTCACTGACTTAGAATATTCAACGGCAATGTTTTTTCTTCTAAAGAAAGCCAAAGTGATACTTTGAGATTTCAAACTGTATTTATATACTTAATCTATTTTATTTTAGAAGAGTATTGCAAGATTGCACTACAACTTGGAGACAGTGTATTTGATAAAAATGAAATACTTCAGGCACATACCTGAAGAGAGAAAGAAAGAGACAAAAATGGCACACGATGGAAATTTGACTGTGGTACTGCAGCACTAGCTGAAGTTAATTTAAAACAAAATTCAGCTGTGATCATCCACAGCAGTAATTCTCAATCCTCATTTTAGACAGTAATAGTTTATTTTAATATTGGCAATAGAAAAATTAAAGTTGGATTTCCCAGAAGGATACATTAGACTAATATCTATAATACTGAAAGAAATACTGAAGTTCTTTTATGAAAATCAGATTACTTTTCAAAGCTTTAATGCATGACTGAACTAAACAATTTCTCATTATTTTTTATGTAAGTTTGAGATAAATTGTATTAATTGGCAATTGCATAGTGTGCATGAGAAATGTATTAGAAGATTCCTGTTTCAATCAATTAAAATCACCATCTCAATTTTTCTTCAAAATCAAGTGGTTAAATCTAAACCAGCATAGAACACTGCTATAATCCTTATAAGGTACCACGCTTTGCAGTGCAATTTAAGGCATGAATTAAGATGATTGCTTTTTGTCCACTGAATATAATGGTTTTGATTTTTAACAAGCAGAAGATTTAGCTCTTGAAACGCAACGTACTTGACTATAATTTGGTGTGCTAAAAACTTTGACTCAATAACAAAGACATACTTGAATAAAGAATATAGAATATATAAAGATACAGCACTATTCATGCTGCTTTTTGGGATTCCTTTTTGAGTGAAAAGTCACAACAAGGTGATTTTGGTTAATAGACAATTCATATATTGTGATGACATCTTTTATGAGACAAATTGAGGTGGAAAAAGTGTTTCAACACACAGTCCTCCATACTTCTAAAACTGATCTACTTTTTCCAACTGCATCACAACTAGTTTGCTGGATGTCAGTATGTGGCAGGATCAGATGCAGAAACAAATGCAGGTGAACAAGGACAATGTGAATGGACTAAGCACCTTCCAAAAAGAACTTCAATAGGGCATTTCTCTGCCTTCTACTTATTTGTAGCTGATCTCCTAGGAAGCTGATGAAAAACCACTTTGTTAATTCTGAATTAAGCCCAAATGAAGGGAGAAAAGAGAAATCTTACATTCCAATATAACTGCTTTGATAATCAGAACAGCACCACAGATATTTCATTCTTTGATACTTACAAGTTTGTCTGGTTTCCTTTGGTAGCTGCATTCTGTTTATTTGGCTGCTTCCTTCAAGTACAAAAACAAAGCCCTTTGTTTCTTTATCATATTCCTACAAAAAGGAACAATAAATGAACATCAGCATTATATTATAATTCCTCACCTTACAATCAACCATATCACTAACATGCAAATCTGCACTTTTTTAGTTAAATACAGCAGCAGAATTCAGTGTAAGACAGATGGTACAGCAAGTATGATAGTTCAGAGATGATGGTAGTAATGTAATACATCAAAATCTATCATTTAATTGTTCATATTATGAACAAACTGTGCTGACTAACACAATCTACAATCCAGTAGGACTGACTCAATCCATTAGCTATAGAATAGTAAAATTACTTTTAAAATTAGTCCTTTTTAAATATTTGAACTGTAAGATTACACTGCAACAAACCTAGTCTGCAAACAGGAATAAAGTACTAATTATGGCAGATTAAATGACTGCTTATACGACAGAATTGTGACAACTCCACAGTCAGGTCAAAACTCTCACTACCTTTTTCTAAATTCCATACTGTAACTTCTATAAATTTCATTAAAAACTTACTTTCCGTATAGCTGATGGATTGCCAAAAATCCGCCATTTTGCTCCTGGGTTTTTGCCTTGAGCACTGAATATTTCAACAAGTGGGCCACCCTATGATAAAATGGTTTAAGGATGCATAATTGAATCAAATATTCAGCAGAGGATCATCACTGATCAAGAATATAAGGACCAATCCCACCTCATAACAGTCTGCTACTATGCTCAGTATTACTGATCAGTCAGACGAGTGTGTTAATAACAATACACGTATTTCCTAGAGGATCTAAAAAGCAAATCTATTGTAAAAATTCTGAGAAGATGCTGGAGATTGGCTACTTATACTTAGATATGCTTTATTTCTACAACTCACCAAATAGAGATTTAAAACATGCTACTAAATGTTAAAAAATCCCTTGTACTTTTCATGTTTTGTCCAATTTCCTAAGAAAACTAATTTACAGAGTCATGTTGGTTCTGTCTACACATGTAAGTATGTCAAAGACATCTCCCTATAACATTCCTAGTAGATACTAAATTTCAGCTTGATCTGATAGAACAGTTCATAAAATGCATAAAAAATTTCTGGGCTGAATTAAGTGACCTGATAGGAGACAGATGCTAACAGTGTCACTGTATACAGATAAGAGCAGCACTTTGCTGCAGCCTTTATTTGGAACTAGAGAAATAATATGGGAAAGAGATTCTCTGCCAGATAAAAACTCCTTACATTGAGCACATGCCCTATTAGACAGCAACCATTCTAACCATACACATTTAGGGAAACAGGCTATAGCAGCTCTTCTTAGGGAATTATCTGCTTCAATGTTATTCACATTACAAGTCGTAGAAAATATTTTCTGATGGCCTCAGACTATGGTTTGATCAACGTTTTTTCAGTAGTGCCTTTGACACAATCAATCTCTACAACTCTCGTCTCTCCCTTCTAATTCTTAGCTGCATGTACTTCCCAGTGCTCTTTGTGCTCAGCTGCCCAAACAATCGTACAGAAGTCAGTATGAGCAAGAGAGGTGAGCAGTCTTGCCAACAAAATAAATGCTCAAATTATGCTTTCAGGGAACATAAACTCTGCACTGTCTATAAATTTCCATCCTTGTTTTCCCCTGGTATCTGGCAGCTAAACCCCAGTGACTAAACTTACTAAGTTCTAAGGAGATGAAAAAATGTATTCCATAAACAGCATCTAAGATACATATTTTATATTCATAATGGATGAAAAAAAGAATTTAAAATATATGATGAACTATTGACGTGAATGTTATCAGACACATTTAAGGACTATTGGCTCAAGCTGTCAGAAAGTTAGAAAAAACTGTTATCTGCCAACTTATATATGTTTGTAGCAAATCTTTATAAACAAGTGGAGTTTTCTCCAAAATGCAAACATACACATCTTGGTAATGTTGCAGCCCTTGTAGGCCCTGCTTCAGTTAAACTAACTGAAAAGGACATAGAAAACTATCGGACATGACGTGAGAGAATGCTGAACGTAACAAGCACTGATGTGAGGAGCTGACAGAAGTTACTGACAGTGCTGTGATGGATGGCTGGATCTCATGGGTGGTTGGGAGAGTTACACAAGAAATTGATGAGGCAGTACGAGGCATCTTTTGGGGAGTACGATCCTGCAGGGCAGAAATACCAAATAAAGCTGAGAGAGACTGCATGACAGATTCAGAAATGCTAGTCTGGGGTACAGACTGGGTGGAAGGAGATGGACCCTCTCTGGCCCATATGGAAAGAGGCAGATAAAAAATTGCTGCTATCACCATTGGTATCTATTCCAGACCTGACAGCACCAGCAGCCACCCACTATTTCCTAACATTTCTCTAAAAATACTGAATAATTAAACTTGATAAAACATTTCTGTATCTGGACTTTTTCTCTCCTTGTAAATAAGCCACTGTAACTGAGTTCTCTCAAAGATGAAATGAATGAGGGTACAAAATAAAACAATTTCTGCTTTACCTGATATTGATTTTTGAACATTTTCCAGCTTTCACAGCAAAAAAAACCCTTCAGGTTTTCTACCAGTAAAGACACACATTACCCTGCAAAATAAAAAAATAAAAACTTTGTCCAGGATTTGACATGAAAAAAATCCTAACGAAAAAAAACCGAAAAAGATATGAATACTATTCCTGAATACTTTTCAAGAGAAGAAAATCAACTGCAATCAGAGGGCTACAGTGCCGCCAGAGATAATACTTTTTATACATTGAGTGCTTAATGCTGCCTTTCCTTACATTCCAAGTTAAAATACTAATTTTATCATTAGCCATTATTTTTAGCAATGAAGGAATCTTCATGCTTTAAAAATATTTGAAAATAACCTCTCATACACATTTTTAAAAACTATTCTTTGTTATCAAGCGCTCGTTGGAAAACATCAAAAACTCCATGAAGAGGGGCTCAACATTTAATACAGGAAAACAGAATCATACAGAACAGCTGCAATAGAAACCACTCCATCCAGAGATCTCTGGCAGGGACTTCTTAGGCAAAATTATCTTCTTTCAAACTCAGCAGTCTCCTTTGAGGATGATTAGTCTAAGGCTCAAACTAAGCCCTTGCTTGGCTATTTTGAGAGCTGCTAATGTCAACAGGAGTTAAGGTATGCCTGCAGTTGGAGAATCAGAGGAGTAGAAAGTGAAGGGGTTGGTAAGGAAGCCTCCTGCTTCTCTCTTTGATCATGCTGAGTATCTGCAATTTCACCTGAAGTCAGCAGAAAGTGAAGGGACCCTGAACATAAAACGCACTTGTCTGCCTTAAAGAACAGGTAGAACCATTCACAAGAGGCAACAGGCACTTTTCCTGTGGAAACAACACTCAGCAACACACAGAAAGCAGCATTTCATAAGGCAGTGCCTCTAGCTCATTTGATGTAACTTGGTTATGTATATCACTACAGTTCAGCATAGAGTACTTACAGAATTAGTTTCAATTTCTGGAGTTCTTCAGAGCCTGAAATAATTTCTTTTTTAACAGATCAAAACAATGATATGCTGACCAAGAGAATATAAGAATCACTTCTCAAGAACAGTTTAGTTACAATGCTGAGCTCTCATAACCAGGAAGTGTCAAAATGTTTACAATATTATAAAATGACAGACGACTACAAATAAATTAGGAATTCAGTGACTTCATAAACAATTCAAACAGTTGAGGAACTGGAGCAGCATTCTATTTCAGAAAGTATATCACCGTTCACTTAGGAAATACGATGAAATCTGTTAATATTAAACAGCACTCTATTTTAACCAGGAGCAATTATTGTAAGCCTTAATGCTAAATGAAATAAAAATGGAAAGAAAAATCAGAAATTAGAAACTTATTTCATGCTGCTACCAGAAACATCAGTTCATTTTCAACCTTTTGATTAGGAAGAAAATGAAATTTAGAAAACACAGTGTTTGTGACGAGCCTATCAAAAACCAGTAAGTATTCTGACTGTGTTACTTTAATACCGTCACCACACATCCAACAAACGAGTTGCACTATTCTGCTTTTTTACATAATTTTTATCTAAAATTCCCAGATAGAATATATATTTTTTTTCTTTAAGAATGACTACCTTAAACTAATAGCTCAGAAATGTGAAAGCATTTCTAAAGCAAGTATTATTCCTGCTGTATGTACTCATTTCGCATACATAGAAATTGTTTGGGAAATCACTATTTACTTTTTTTTTTTGGCCTGCAGTCTTATCTTTGCAGTACCCTACAAGCCTTGGGCAAGCCCAAACTACTCAAATTCTATTATCCATGTCTTAGTGAGAAGTAATGACACTGTGGAACTAATCTTAGTGACCTACCATTTCGATTCGCTTTGCCAGAACTAAATGTGAAGGACTGCTGGTGAAGGGAAAGCGGGAAGTCTTGGCCTCCTAGGGTATAGATATATTGAGTGAAGGAGGTACAAAGGAAGACACTATTTTTCCTTGGAGCAAATCCTTTACATTGACTGCTGCTTTAAAACCCAGTTCCAGTTCTGCCAGGCGTCACACATCTAACATAACCCTCACGTATTCTGCGGTTCTGCCGTGCCTTATTATACCTCAGGGAAAAACAATATAGCAGGATTCCTCACATTTATTTAGGTATAACAGTCACCGTATGTAACGTATAAAGTTCGAGGACTGAACAGAACAGCTTGTCTCTGAGAGATTACTACTAATGTTATTGTGGCCAGAAATCTTCTGCTGACTGTAGTCACACTTTATATTTTGGAAGAAATATTATGAAGGGGCCAAGTTGCATCTTCCTTAGCACAGCACCTTTCAGGATGGAGAGCAGGGTAGGCAGCTACAGCATACGCAGATACTGCTGTATTTAGAATTACACGGAAGATATGGAAAGTAATTCTTTATTTTCTTCATTGTTTTCTCATAACGTGTACCTGGTTTTCACAGAACCCAATCCACCAACAGCACAGCGTGCACAGTTTTGAAAGAAGATGCAAAGAGCTTTGTGTAAAGTGCAAGGTAGGTGGAAGCCGTGTTGATATATTGGGTTCAGTGCTGTGCTAGTACACTTTGCCTCTCAGCAGTGCTTATTAGCTTTGGCTTGACATCACGCTAATTTATCTCCACATTGTATTGCATGGAAATAGTTCTTGGTTGGCTCTGAGCACAGAAAGAGTGTATGTGCACTGGTAAAACACAACGGAGACACGCAAATATCACAGTAAGACCCTTATCCTGATAATTTTTAAGTTTAAATGGAGGAAACGTGTCTGAATGGAAAAGTTCAGATGACATGCTTAAGAAAAGGTAGAGAACATGATCAAATAAAGACTTTCAATGGATCACAGAAAGCACAGAAATATATACAAGAAATAACAGTAAGTGCAAAGTGCAGTGGTAGTAAAAAGATGCAAAAATCTCTGAGGCAAAGAGCACTTATTGTAGGACTACAAATCTCACAACTAGAAATCTTTAATATTCAAGCCATCAAATAAAGCATATTGCTTAAAATATGGCTTAACATTTTTCACCAAAGCAGTTGTTTTTTTGAACGGACACACATATATGCTAGCCAATTATTAATTTGCGGAATATATTTTACATAGATTTAGAAAAGCCTCCTAACTCAAATTCATAGTGAGATGGCTCTTTGTAACTTCAGCTAAAGGTGAATTAGATCCGAAGTTAAACAGTTGTGTTGGGACAACTCATTTACAGTACAAAGCTGATTACTGCGAATACATCAGGGAAACGTCAGCTTGCTTTTCATACAGGCACAAAAGACTGCAAGCGACACTAAGAAATTTTTGATCACATATTTAATTCCCAGTTTCCATTAAGTCACTGCAAATGAAGACTAGAGAACACCTCTGCTATTAGGATTGATAGCTACTAAAAATACTAAATGAATTATTTATTTACAGTGTAATTAATTACAGTGATAATATTAAGGAGGCACTTTGATGATGCCTTAAATATGTTGTCTTTTAGTTACAGAAAACTACACTTAGAGAATAGGTTGGAAAACTGATAGTTGCAGTATTTTCCTTTTTTCCATTGTTCCTTCTCCTACTCTTCATAAAGTCTAGACATGTAAAGAGGGCTTACTTGAAATCCACAGGGATTATTTTTGAAAAAAGAGGGACTATATGGCATCTTAATATAAGTCCTCTACTTTTTGTGTATTTTTCAAATCAATAGGCTCTTAATGACATCTCTATAGAATACTGTGATTCAGAAGCTCCATGTTTCTTTCACAGATCATGATTATTTCTATTGCCCTGAACCATGTATGTTTGTCCAATTGGAAATAGGGGCTTTAAGTATCAGTCAAGAAATGATTGGGAATGTAGTTTATTAAAGTTATGTAAAAATGAAATATATTTATCTTTGGAAGAACAGATTCCTATCAGGATTTACATCATGAAGTCTTGGTCTGTACACTGACTTTGATAGTTTCACAATGTTTCCCACACCAAAAATGAAGCAGCAGCAGACCAAAGGGCCCCAAATCCTTTTTTTCTTATTAACCACTTAGGATCTGGCAAAAAATGTCCCAGTTCCAGGGAATCTTTATATACATATTTTTTTCTTCTTCCAACACTTTAAACAAACAGTAAGCAGACCTTTGGGCTTCTTTATATTACTGACTGCTGAGTACTGCTGTAACCCCAAGGCAGACAGTGAGAGGACAGACAGACTCATGGACACTAGTCATGGTAAAAACCTTCGCAGTCACAGCCAGTCCCTTGACTTCAAAGGGACCACGTGCACAAACATATGACTGTATTTTTTCTGACCATTGTCCCAGTATTGAAAAATCTGTGTTATTTTTCTATTCCAAAGACAGAAGTGTAAGGCAAAGTTAAAGCACACCTACCACTCATCTGCACTGAAAAACGCCCTAAACCCACAGCTTTTGGCAGGGAACAGGCTGAGAGCCAGCACTGCTGATCCATACAGCTCACCATCACGGGCCCAAAGCCAGCGCTGATTTATGGCCGGCTGGGACACGCCAGGGAGAGCAGTTCATCACTGCTGAAGGGTTTTCGCATCTTCTAGACAAATGAATTTCACATATTGAATATTTAAAGCTGGGTTTGCAACACCGCAATACATTTTCTCAACACACAAGTTAACGTAATAAACGGGGAGAAAGACCATTAATAAACTACAGCAATACTACCAGCGTCCCTATGCCAGGAGCAAAGCTTTAACGCACCAACCCCGCACAGCCCCTTCCTTGTGCCACAACAGCGCTGACGCCGTGCCGCTCCCCCGCCCCTCCGCCGTCGCGGCCCTCCCTCTCCGCCACAGCCCCGCCGCCGGGGCCGGGGTCGCTCGGCTCGCGGAGCTCAGCTCCGGCCGGGTCTCACCTGAGCGAGGGCGGCTTGGGAGGGTAGGCCGCGCCTACAGGGGAGGCGGGCGGCTGGGCGGGGATGGGCGCGTTTAAAATGGCGGCGGGCGGGATGCGGCGTTGTCGCTCACGGCTGGCGGCCGTTAGCTGCGCGGAGCCGAGCGTTCTCGTTCGCTGCGGGCCGCCCGCAAGGCTTTTTCCTCACAGAGCGAGTTAAAAACTGGCTAATCGTGCAGACTGAGGGCTGCTGGCCTCGAGAGGGCTGGGACGTTCCCTGGCACGGTGACGTTTGTGTCCCTCGGGGTACGCGCGGTGCGTGGCGGCCACGCCAAGTGCTGAAGCACAAATGTGACCAAGAAATCTCTTGGCAAAGCTTTTTGGCCACTTAAGCTATAAGACTAACTCGTGTGTGTTTTGAGAAGAATATGGGAAGCCGCACCCCTGCCACTGTTTTTTTAAAAATTAATTAACTTCTGGCTCTTCAGTTTAAAAGGAGGTAAGGACAGCCCCGTTTAAAGCTTTTGTCAAAATTAAGATCTCCTGATGGCTTTGAAGACCTCTAGGAAGGTGTCAGGAAACCAATTTGATCTATGATTATAGAAAGAAATATTTGTAAAAGAACAGTGTTCCTTGGAATGACTGCTCTTTTGATTACAGTGTTTCCTTGTGAAACTTTGCAGCCTTTTCACAAAAAATAACAGAATGCCTTTTTCTTAAAGTGTGTCTTCAAGTTTCTATAAAGAATGATCGTTGAGGACTCTGTAACCTGTCACAGTGGGATGAAGTACCTGGAATTAAGGTGCTGAGCCACCAGTTTGTTGGGCAGTGTCTCAGCCCACCTTCATCCTGTTCACACAATCACAGAATGGCTCAGGTTGGAAAGGACCTCAAAGCCCACCCAGCTCCAACCCCGTGCCATGGGCTGGCTGCACCCCCAGCTCAGGCTGCCCAGAGCCCCATCCATGGCCTTGAGCACCTCCAGGGATGGGCACCCACAGCTCTGGGCAGCTGTGCCGCTGCCTCACCGCCCTCTGAGTACAGAATTTCTTCCTAACATCTAATCTAAATGTCCCCTTTTAGTTTAAAGCCATTCCCCTCCCCCTTGTCCTGTCACTGTCTTTCGTTGTTCCTGAAAGGTACTGTCCAGGCTTTGTCAAGGAAGAGAATGAGTTATATCAATTATAAGGTGTTGTTTTTTTTTTTTTTTTTTAACTTTCTCATTTTACCTTGGGATATTCAAAGAAAACACATCCAGTGTGGTTTATCATATGCTGGATTAGACTGCTTAAAGTTCTTGGGTATTGGAGATAAGCAAAGCAGTAATGCTAAAAACTGAGCTACGGATTATTAAATAAAAGCAGCTAATAGAACAAGGACAAAAGAAAGATAATAGCAAAAGAAAGGTTAAAAACTTGAGAAGTTCTGTAGACAACAGAAACTATATTGTTCATTATATGTGGTTTAACTAGAAATTGTCCTGAATTTTTTTTTCACATAACTCTATATCTGAAAAGCCTGAGACCTTTGTGACAAGCATATGGCTGAAGAAGCTGAGAAATTTGAGTTAAAAAACAGGGTTCAGGCTGGAGAGCCAAGGTTATAAAGGTATGTGGGGCAGCCAGCTGTAAGTGCAAGCTGTGGAAGCATTTCCTGCCAGCTCTGGGCAGTGCTGGGCTGTGCAAGTCCAAAATTTCACTTTGCCAGCTGGAGAAAACATTTCAGAGGTATTGTGAGGGAAAAAAGAAATTCCTGCTTATTTCAATTCTACCGGAAAAAAATACTGTGTATATATATATATATGTATATGTGCATATATATATTTATATATTTTTGGTACACCCTATCGCTCAAAAACTGCAGGTAGTGTAAAATCAGCAATGAACCTTGTCATTAAACGTAGCCCTTCTATGACCGAGTCCTTGTGTACTCCAGGGTTGGATTTGAAAGTATGTTAATGTGGGAATACTGTGAAACTAATGGTTAGAAAATCAGGATGTTTGTTATATTGACTTCTTTAGGGTCAAATCTTCAGATCATCTTCTGTTGTTTGAATTTCTGGGTTATATATTTTTTTTTGACTCCATGTTTTAAGCCTCTGTGCAGAGTACATCTTCTAAAGCCCTGGAAAGGCACGATGAATGTTCAGCAAGTGGCTGAGTAATAATGTGGAGAAAACTGTGAGAGCTCAGATATGTTTACCTTCAAATGCTACCTTTCAATTTCCTGAACTGAAACCTGTACACGTTAAAATGTATTTCAGTGGATAGATTTTTACTGTGTCTTAGAGAAGTGAATTGGAACATACGGACAATTCATACTGTAAATGCTCTAAACTCAAGGTGTGGTTAGATCTTCAGTCTTAAATTAAAATACTAAGATGTCTGTAGTGTCATGCTGGGAACTGAATTGATTTAAGTTTGGATAGTGTTCAACATGCACTAGGTATTTGATGTGTGATATTAAACCGAGCCATTTTTAAAGGACCCCCACTGGCATAACTTGGCTTTGTATCAACAGGAATAATACTGTAATTTCCTCCATCCATTCATGACTTTTCCTTATTGCATACTTTGCTCACACTTGGAGCAGCCTGCCAGCTGATGTATGCCAGGTGGCCTCCCTCCTGTGCAAAGCTCCCTTTCACCTCTAATGACCATTTGCCAGTCTGATCTGTATTTTATTGTTCTATTACATGCCGTTTTAGACAGAAAGTCCATGTAGTAGGGCAGTCCCTTGTCTTTCTAGTTCATTCTGTCAAACACCATGTCATGTTTTGGGATCTGTATACTAGTTAAGCTGAGAAAGAAGACACTGTGGCATTCTGTGAAATTTTCTGTAAATCCTTCTTGCCATTCTTGATGAGAAGGGTCACGCTGTGTGCCTTGTGACCTGCTTAGCGTTCACTTGGTAACAGCTGCCATGGAGCTGAGGCATATTTGCCCCAGTGCCAGCCCTGTCTTCGTTTCTCTTGAGCATTCCTCTTTACCCAGTAACCTTCCTTATGCATGTTTGCCAAGATTATGTCATGCAGGGTTATTTACCTGTGTCGTCACCACTGTATCCACGCTCTGAATCTCTGAAAATATTCCAGCAGAGTGTACATGTACTTTCCATTTTATCTAATTTTTGTTCGTATGTTTGTCTTCTGATACAATTACTGTTAAAAAGTGGAATTCATTATTTAACTATTCTGGCTGTCTCTGAGTTTCTAGAACAGAATAATGTAATTTGAGAGAGAGAAATATAGGTGATTGGCCTGTGGCTTTTAGATGGGGAGTAATGCCTTTGGTTCAGAAAAAAACAATTTGGAGAAGACAGTTTTTGGTTATGCTCATAGTGAGAACCAGTTCACAACCTATTTTCCTAAGTCCCACAAATATTTCATCAACAGAGGTTTTGTAGAAATCCCTATTTGAGGTCTGGGAAAAGTTATGAAAAAGCAAGCTGGATTACTTTCTGTTGAGACTCACGAGATCAAACTTTCACTAGTTTTCCCACCCTCGCTACAGCCTTGTTGTTCAGGTTCAGAAGCTTTAGATGCAGCTGCATAGAGGTGGGAAAGCTGTGGAGCTGTTCCTCCTGTGTGCGTCTTTTCTTTACAGCACAGTGGATGGTGCTGAGATGAGATCAAAGTCTTTAGTATCCCACTTTCACCAGACTAATTCTGTTCATGAAGAATAGAAAAAGTTGTGTTCTGTGAAATAAATGTGCTGCACCACTCCAGAAAGCATTGAGTACTCAGGAACTAATACCTGAAACTGGAAAATAGACTACTTATGTTATGTCAGATTTATAAGAATCCACCCCATACGATCAGTTGGCCAAATTTCAGTTCAGAGCAGGCTTTTAAAGCATGAAAATCATGAAGATGTATTTAATAAGATTACTGACCTAGTTAGCCAGTGCTCTTGGATGTATGAAGGCAGTTAGCATAGGGCTTAAAAGACTTGATTTGTTCCTCTTTTCTTGCTTTTTTGGGTTTTGTATGGGTGCAACTGGAATCTGTTTACAGATGAAAAAAGAAATGATTACATCTGAAAAAAAGCAGTACATTTCTTTAACTCAAAGAACCATCAGCTTTGTGCAGTGTGTGTGCTAATGACCTCCATTCTTTCAGAGCAATTCATTAGTTACGTAGCAGCAATGAAGGGTACAGGAAAACTGACAACGTGCCGTGTTTTGCTGTAATATTGAAGCAATTTGTGTTTAAGTTTGGCAGTTATATTACAGTGAAGGAAGTTCTCTTTTCACTTGCTAAGGTGCTTTATAACAGTTACAGTCTTTAAACACCCCGAATTGTGCTGATAATGGCTATTTGTTTCAACTTTACAGTGTAGAAGGAGATTTTGTCTAATATCTTCTGTATTTTGTTCACGCTTCTTTGATTCAGAGAGTTCTTCAAACAGCCTCTGGATGACCACTAGAAACTTCAGATAGCATAGCCACTTCTCTTTGTCCAGTAATGCCATTACATTATAAACTATTGATTTTTATAATACAATTAAGTTGTCAATGATTTCTTAAGAAATCATTTTACATTTTCTGTGTTATGCACTCAGCACATTGTCTGTCATAAGTCAGACTGTGGTGTTCTCAGCCTGGAATGAAGCAGTCTTCTTGCTGTTTTCAGAATGAAACCATCTCCTCACCAGCCTCAGCACTGCAGAGGATTTCACCTCTGAAATGAACAAATGACCTTTGTCTGTTTGATCATGATGGGTATATACAATAAAATTTTTAAGCGCTGTAATTTGCTGCTGTTGGGACATTCTTAAGACATATAGTTTATCTTGCCTTAGTTTTAGTGACTTACACAGAAAAGAATAAAAACTGCAATTTCACAAAATGCTTCATGATTCAGGGTCAAAATAGACAGCTATCTGAACTCACAGAGGAATTTCTTCATCTCTTCATCACATGGATTTTACAATGAAGGAGGATACCATAGAGTATGTATGCTGGAGTAGGATGATGCATTAGAAGGCAAGATACTGGTTATGATGGGTCAAAATGGTCTATTCTATCCTGACATTTCCTGTATTCTTTTTCAGTGCCTTTATTTGTCCTGATTACTTTTTTTTTTTTTTTTTTTTCCCTGTGGTCTTTCCAATTTTTATTTTTACTGGCAAGACAGAAAAAGAAGTCAATATGTAGTTTGACATTGTTCATTCAACTTGTCGGATTTTTGTTTAGTCTCTTGATATTGTGGTTTCACATATTTCTTGTTCACATTGTTAGGGTATAAGGTTTTTCTCAGTATGCACCACGTAGAAATGTCTCTGCTGTGGTATCTCTTAAATTAATCTTTTTGAATTAGTGTAGGGTTTTGAAGCAATGCAAGTACTTTTAAATGAAACTCTGTGTGATTGCAATTCAGATAAACATAAAAACTCAAATACAGATTTTGAGAATTGAAGGGTATTGCAATTTTCACTGACTTGCTTGGGGTTGAGGCGCTGGCTGCCATATACCATTCTCTGTTTTGCCTTTGTGGAATTGTTCTGCGAACAAAACAACTTCAAAACCACAGGTTTCCTGGAGGTTTTCTGCCATTGGTTCTTCTAGTCAGTTTCTTCTGTCTCTTTGTGACTCCCTTGAAACAACCACCCCACTTTTCTTTTTCTCCCATATTTTCATATTCCCACATTTCTTGTCTCATCCCATGTCTCAGCTGTTCTTTTTGTTTTCTGAAAAGTCCTCTTCATTCAGTGCAGAGCTCCCAGATATCCTAAAGTCTCACTCAGCAGCCAGACAGGGAAGGATGTGCTGTGGTTTGTCCATTGCAGGAGATGTGCTGAGTGGACAGCCAGGAGGTAACAGGGCCCACAAGAGGCCTGTACACCAGAGGCACCACGGTGTCTGAAACTGCATT